GGAAGAGCGAGAGGATGTTAGAGATAGAGAGCTGTTAGTTGGATAAACACATATAAGGTTGGAAGCATCCATAGGGAGGTGCGATAAATCATACCATTCTACTTATCGATCCTCCTAGTCCGGTCTCGATCTTTTCCAAAAGAAGCTTTACATGAGATTGAACCCGTTCCTTGAGGACCATGAGCTTCGAGAGCTCGACGTCTAAGAAAATATAGCTGAATACATACCGCCCACCCGTCAACAACAAGCATACTCATCATTAAAGGAACACATACGAATAGATATCCCCAAGCATCCCATGTAACTCAGTGGCCGTGAAATCACCATCGTCGGACGATGAATTCTTGATCTTCAACCCGCTCTATTCAGGGCGAAAGAGAATAAAACCGGGGGTGAGCGCTCGTACCCGCACTGATCATAAAGACCAACTCACGAGATCGGCAATCCAATGTATAGGAACAAGCTTAAGAACGTCCCGAACTAGGTTTACGGAACGTGTCTTGGATCCCGAAAGATTGAACGAGTTGCTCTTGATGAGTTCTTGTGTTTTCTCGAAAAAGAATTTCGTCAATTCCGCCGAAGCCTCAGAAGTTCCAGCTAAGGCACCGAGAACCCGTTTCTGCTCTGTGCGGTCTTCAGGTGCACTGAAGAAGCTGTACGGAACGAAGAAAAAAACCAAAACTCAATAAGGATATTCCCACACGACACAAATTGTAAAAATTCACCCTTTCCCCGAAACGACGTCTTTCGCTCGCTTTTCATAATGCGCAATAAACTTCGGATCCTTTATGATATTCCCCACCTGCGTATAATCCATCGCCACCACTCCCGGATTTCTCGTCGTCGGTCGTTTCATATCATATTGATCGGAAAGATTCAAATCCTTCAAATAGACAGTCATTGCCTGAGGCGTCATCAGAGGGAAAAACGCATAAGTGCTGTTCTCCGTGAACTGTTCGGGGAGGGTACGAAGGAAGAGTCGGCCCAAGGCGCTCCCGAATCCAAAAGCATCAGGCTGGCGTTGACAGTCGGCGAAACCCCACGCAGTAAGGTTGAATGGGGTGAAGTCATGCGTGAAGTAGCGGTCCCCACGGGTGAGTGCGATGGCATCGCTCAGGATTGCACGACTAATGGTGTAGCCTTGTAAAAGAAGAAAAGTATGACATCGGTACGGCACGTTGGAGCAATTAAGTATGCAGTTGTTCTCTCACCAGGACATAACCCAGCTCCATCCACCACAGGTTTAGCTTCCTCCGCTTGCAAACCAACATAAAGCTCAAGGTATTCGATATTTCCGTACAACTTCTCAGCAGCATGAGCGATTTCCGGGTTCGAATTCCATTCCAAGAAAGTGCTATAGGCTATACAAGGTCTCTTTCAGCAGAAGTAATGGGGCTTCAATGGCATTACACTCACGTTTGAGACCTAAATACTTCCTGAAGTCGTTCAACGAACACACCCCCCATGCGCGATTCTGAGTGATCCCCATGATTTCATGGAGCCGCATGCATTCTAGTGGGAATGGAGAGATGAATAACCAGTAAGGATGAAAAAGCGAGGAGAAAATCTTACCTGGCGTACCCCGAGCGCGGAAAGCACCTGCAGGATGCTCAGTGCTATTTGCGGATATCAGTACGTCAGTCGAACAACTCATTCAAATGACACTCACGCATTTTTAAGCAAATTGGCCAAATCTTCATCCCGGAAGGACCCGTCTTCTTGTCTTTTCAAACTAAGAATAGTACATAAACTTGTATCAGCAAAAATGCATAGCAATGGCAGCATAGCACCTACTCGCCAAAAGTCCAGTGATCGAGATCGGGTAGTTGAGCCATTGCTTTCTTTGCCCCAATAACGAAATCCATAGCCGTCAAGTCCTCGATGGGCTTGTCTGGGAAGATTTGCTGCAACTTCTGCAAAGTCCATTGCTCGTCTTCCTGGCTCGTAGTCGCGTGCCAACGGTAAAGACAGTTGAACTGATTGCCATTTGATCAACAACATATTCAGACACAATGTGAATTCGAAGAGATCATACGACCCACCTCCACACTGCAGCTGTTTCCCCGTCCTCTTTCGAACTCAGAGTGGTCAGAGTTTCTCATTTCCTATCAGCCATGGTTAGTCATCTGAACAAGTCGCACATGCTAGAAAAAAATTTACTCTGAAGGGATCCAAACTCCAATTACTCCCTTGCCTTACCAGACCCAGAATACAGGAGACATAATCAGAAAAGATGACTGTCGAACGAAAAACATCAGAATAACAACAGGTGAGAGCATTCGGGAATCTGAACCTGTGCCGAACCAGCCACAATTCACCAAGCGCGCGGTCTGGAACAACTCCTCATCCTGAGCAGCGAGTGCGTCACCAGAAAGCGTGGAAGGGTCTTTGTACTTCTTCCGCTCGTTTATGTCAAAGAGTTTCTTCGCAATGTACTGAATAGGCAAGTTGGTTGACAAATTGTAGAACAAGGACTGTAACACCCACATTGTGATTCCGACTAAACAGCACTAATAAAACGCATACCGCAGGAGGAAGCAAGAGTAGCCTATCCTCTGCAAATGAGTCAGGGTGTAATAGCCCTAAACCTTCCTTTCTACGAACTCGGTCCTGAGTCTCTTGGTTATGACCATAGAGAGGAGCCAAATCGCAATAAGAAGATGTCTCGTTAATGTTTACGTCCGTATGTGACGTTCGGAACACACTGTTGGTAGCATTAGCATATACTCGAACCGAACTGAGGCGAAATAGAGAACCCCACACCTGTGGATAACCAACGCGGCGAATGAAAACATGAGCGAGGAAAGCCCGGCAGGATGACTCTGGAACTGTACGACATAACGCCACTAGCATCAGTAAATATTGTAGCAATTACTTGACACCAACGTACACCATCGCGCTTTAAGAGCCTGCAACGCAATGAAAGGACCAAGAGAAGAAAGTTGAAGCACAGACGTAGTCAGCCGATTCGTTCCTTAATCAATTTAACCATAAAATACTCACGTATCGAAGATTAATCCTGGGTCAGGAAGTTCGCTCGGAGACAGCGGATGACTTTGTTGCACCGATCGTGCGTAAGTAGCTCCAGCCTTCCCCAGATCTGGGTCTCCAATGTTGTTCCCGGATCCATCCGCCGAACGCCATGCGTACTTGTTTCCGATTAAAGTCGCAGGGGGATGCGAGAGATCGTTATACACTATGTAAGTGGAGAGCGTGCGTCGGCGTAAGGGAGGCAAAGAAGAGGAAGAAGGAAGACATTTGGTGAGGGGTGAGAATTGAGAAGATTCCCAGATGAAAAAAATAAAGGTTACAACGTACACAGTTTGATAACGTCGTCCTGTAACTTTTGGGCAAAGTCGCCTGGGGGCAGTTTGGAAAGCAAGGACAGTCCATGTTCCAGCTACGTTGGAATCGAGGGGAACGAGTGATCAATCACATCTTTGTGCGGAGATCGTACAACACCCGTACCGCCAATTTCCTATCATCAATCGCCTCTTTGTGTCTAACGAAATCCGCCGCGGCAGACTGAGATAAGGAACGAGGAACAGAAACGGTCATCATTTTTCAGCTTGCTTCGAATTTCCCAAACGCCACGTCGAACTCACCAGTCCAGATTGCTCAAAAGTCAAATGCGTGTTTGCTTTCTTGAATGGCTGAGCAGCTGAGGAAGTTGTCGTACTATCTGCCTTTGCTTGGTGCCCATTAGCCGTTCCCTATAAACAGTTCGAACAATCAAAACGTGCGAACGATGGTTTACGGACAGAGAAACGAACATTGGTTGGGTAGATACTAGTGCTACGGCGAAAGATTGATGGAAACTTGTCCAATGGGCTCGTAGCTTCTGACATTGTTGTGCGCAAGAGGCTGCTTGGGTCAACAGCAAGCTGACTGTAAAAGCGGATGAAGGAAGGAAAGGGTAGCAAAAACGGAGTCCCACTTTCTTAAGCGTTCTTATAGTGAAATGGAAGCGGATTTACCCCAAAAGGCATTCTTCCTTGTAAGAATGTTCGTTTTCTACAATCGGGGAAAGGGAGTTCAGACTCTGTCAAGCACCTAATTGGAGAGTCAATCAGCAGCTGAGGTTGAAGTCGGCTAACTCACGACCAACGCGCCAGAAACTTTTCATTTAATATTTTTAGAGTGGCAGCTGAGGGCACCTGGCGTATTACCCAAAGAGATGTGGATGAAATCAATGACATCTGAACGATTGATATTGTAGTTTGAAGAAGATATGTCTATAGAGATACTGGAGATAATCATAGTTAAAACGAAAAAAGGATTCAATCACATTCGGGAACACGTACATCACATTGGCGCCTAAATTCTATGCGCGCTCCCAGATCTAACCACGGCTGCGCTTTGGACAGGCGTTATGGTTCCGCGATAATATTAACAAAGAAGGATATCCGGTGACATTCCTTTGACGTTCTGAATATTCGTATAATTCTAACGTTAGGAGGTCGATAGCAGATTAGGGCCCCGGATCTGATTGAAATTTTCCACTGGTTGAAGAAGACTTCAAGAAGTTGAACTTTTCGTGTTCTAGTAGTTTTGTGCAGTGCATGCGCAAGTGAGAATCTTCTAAATATATACCGGTCGGAATTTGGAAGGAGCATTCAGGTAAGGTCCAAGCTAAGACTGCTAAGACACCCCCGACATAAGCCGACATATAAGATGATTGCATATTGATAGGCTCCACTGTCGTGGACCACACCTTGCTTGGTACATATTGTAGATTTAAAATGCGGCGCACACAAGGTGCGCCGCGAGTCAGCACAGGACCTCCATATGTTCATGAAGGTCACAGTGAAGAGAATAAGAGAGTTGTTGTGGATCCTATGTGGATCCTTCAAAACAAAACAAGTTCAAAGTGTGCCTGCACATCAAAATTGTCCAATTCCGGGGTAGAATAGACCTTGCAAGCAAGGTGACAAACCCACCCGAGATAGCATGAGGATATGGGATCTTGAATGTGCCATCACAGCAGCTATGTCTTGCAAGTCCCCGTAGATTAGTGGTTAGATCACCACGTTGTGGTAGAGCAATTTGCCGAGCATAACCGTGGTAACCCAGGCTCGAATCCTGGCAGGGACACTCTTTTTGCCCCTCTTCTCTTCGAGCTTTTCACAGCTTTTTGGGGATCCTAGTTCCCATTGTCAGGTCCAAAGTTTCGTGAGGTCAGAGTTGAATAACAGTTGATATTGGACAGAACGTGAGTTGTTGATTCATGATTGAAGATGTAAGAAAGTCACTTGCTTTCAGTTTCACAAGCTTTCACATCTGTCCATCTTCTGTCTCAATATCTGAACATCTCTGTGTCGACGTGGTCCTGACTCCTGACTGCACAATTGATATCAAACCAACCAGGGGAAAGATATCTCAAAGACGATTTGGACAAAAACACTGTCAGACCAGTGGAATGCTTTTTTTTGAACTCTTTTATTCCGCGAATGTAAGTAAAGCAAGTACTAAGGCCCGGGGAGGTGTGTAATCTATATGTTCCTTTGGTGTGATTATAGCTACTGGGGTGATGATGCTAGTGCTTGTCTGGTGCTTGTAGTGGAACGCATCGTGTCGGCGAAAATCGACGATATGTATCACATTTGATGCAAACATCCCGACTCTCTCTAGTCTCGCGAGCCAGAATTCACGATGAGCGAAGAAAATTTCGTTCACTCATAGACTCTCTCCACTAATCACATACTCCGACCTGCTCCCAGTGCTGCGCAGCGTGTAGCCTGTTTCTATGTCTGGGGACTCGCATTCTTCCTCAACGACCTCAACTTTGGAGTTCCTGAGTATCGACCACGCTCATGATTTGTATCACTACAAGCGAAGGCTGCGCAATATCAAAGTATTTAAGAAGATCTAAAAGGATTGCGTTTTTTCTCTGTCTCACTTTCTTTCCACATTCTACTTAGTCTCCAGAGCTGGTCTCTCCTTCCACTCACAGAACGGGTTTCTTTTTGAGTATCCCATTGAAAATAACTCGCAATGATTCTTTTTTGCCTTTTTTCCAACATTTTTGCTTTTGCTCTTATCACGTCGAGCACGGCTGTCAACCTTCCTCTGCGTCCAATGACCCAGCCCCGGACAACTCGACCATCAGCTCAGTCTTCATCCCAAACAGTAGTCGGATTCCTAAGGACACCCACCAGCGTGAGTTTCTCCCTAATTTTGGAATGATGTCGAAGTCTGTACAAAAGATCGCTAAATAATATCTTTACTTAGGCGCTCTCTCGGGAGCTCAACACTGCAGGAACGCTCACTGCAGCACTTACGCGAGCTGAGGAGGAGAACCGATATGGTCGCCTCCAAGATGATTGTGGAGTTCTACGTCACCCGTAAGTTCTTTCTTTGAAATGTTTTCTTCGCTCGAAATACTGAGCATCCAAGCTAGTACGGAAATGATAGTTAGTTTTGTGAATCGTGATGATGTGGAAGCGATCCTAATTTTACATGGTAGTGTGTGATATACTGCCGCAATTGCACAGGTCCCTAAGGTAAGCTATCCTTTACTTTTGTTGGATCTGTCTAAATGCTTGACATATACTCCAGCACTTCATTCAACATCAAGGACCCATCCATAACAAATTTGAGCAATCTGCGATTGATAGAGAGATCGAGAATGAAGGATTCGAACCTGCTCAGGATGTCATCCTGTTCAACCGATCAATGTCTGACCAATCTCCGTATGGGGTAACAATGTTAATCCCACACCAGTATCTTGTGAAGTCTAGCATCAAACCGACTCATCCCTTTGGAGAGAACAGTCTTCAGCTCAGGGTTTCATGTAGTGAAATTGGTGAGCCTCACTCTTCCTTGAATACATTACCTTCAGGCTTCTTCTGTCGTGTTTCTAATTGTCCGTTTCTCACATCAGGTGATTATAAGGGACCGAGGATGGTGAATTGGGGAAAGCTATGGCCAGATGTATCTTTTCCGCCTGATCTTCGTCAAGGACTCGATCGTATGCATGCTTGGTACGAAAATCAGTACTATTAGACTATACCTTTTTGTGTTGTAGTATAACTATCGGAAAGTATCGGAGTTCATGTTTCCATGGCGGGTGAAGTTCATCGACCAAATGACTAATATTACCATTTGCCATTCGCTGAACTCGGTTAAGTACACTTCGACTATCTTGTGAAGACTGGAGATGTTTCATGGCTTGAGCTCGGAGTGTCGCATAGCAGCGCCTACTTACAATATCGCTTTTTTGGCTTGAATTTCCATATATTGAAGGTTATCCGGCCGTCTAATTTTTCGAATTCTTCAAGTTCTAGAAGAAAGATGTACATACCAGTCGGAACCGTACCAGGGTAAAAGAATCATAATCTATCTGGCACTATACGTCTATGAACTCTCACATCATCTCACTAGCTCTCACCGTACCTTCATCGATTCTCATACTCTCTCATCTATCTAAAGTCAATCCCCGATCCTCTAGAAGCAAAAATGAACGGCAACGAAACCGAGGACAAGCTCTCAATTTCGAATCGCTCCGTCAATGTCACCGTCACAGATCCTGGTACATCAGAACCACCCACAGATTCATTTCCAGCCACACCTCCTGACAGTGATAAACTAGCCAACTGGTATACACCAAAAGACTTTGGGCTCATTCCGATTCCGAAACAACTTCGTTATGACCCCGATAAGCCGTTCCATTTCGGAATGTTTCTCAATGTACTTTTTGGTGTTACTAGCACATTTAGTTGAGTGGCATTCGCTTTGGCTACTTTCATGTACTGTTGACGCTTATAGGGATGTTGATAATTAGGTGTAGCGAACTTGTATTGGTGCCAACCGATTCTCAGTGAGGACTCCCCTTTTGGCTTTATGATATCGTTGAGGCTTGAACGAATTTCTGATGTTTTGATACCGGCTCCTCATTAGTTGAGCTGGCGACCAATTTTGACGTTTCTTATGATGAGATATCCAAGTGCGTTCCTTTGTTGTTCCAACGTTGACTAAATATTTACTCAGTGAGATCGCAGGCTTCCAACGCTTATCCAAGCAGGGTACTGTCTAGAATTCGTTCACCCACTTCCAATCTTGACTGAACATCCTCCAGCTACGCTACGGGCCTGATCTTCATCTCTCCCCTTGGTGACCTCGTCCGTCGCCGTCAACTCCTCCTCATCCTAATAATTATCTCTGCCTCCCTTACCATCGGTCTCTCCCTAACCCACTCCCTCCGCACATTCCAAGTCCTCTCCTTCCTCACAGGCATATCCTCCGTGACCCCACAAGTCCTCCTCCCGCTCACCGCAGACCTCGCACCTCCCTCCCGCCGAGCAACAGCCCTCTCCATCGTCTTCTCAGGACTGCTCTTCGGTATCCTTATCGCACGTGTGTTTTCCGGACTCATAGCGCAGTTTGCTGATTGGCGTATAACATATTATATGTCGATTGGTGTACAGTGGGGATTGGTTGTAGTGTTGTTTTGGATTGTGCCGGATTATCCACCGAAGAATGCAGGTAAGGATGGGCAGGGTGTTGAGAACGAGGAAGGCGGAGGCAAGTTGGGGTACGGGAGGATCATGTGGACGATGGCAAAGTTTAGTGTTACGGAGCCGGTCCTTATTCAAGGATGTTTGTGTAATCTGGGTTCAGCGGCTGCGTTTAGTAGTTTCTGGGTGACGCTTACTTTCCTGTTGGGTGGAGAACCATATAATTATTCAACGTGAGTATATCCTCTTTCCTCCCGCATAAATACCTGCTCAGCCACTTCCCAGCTTAATCATTGGCCTCTTTGGATTAATCGGCATGGTCGGCGTCGCCCTCGCTCCCCTCGTCGGCCGATTCATCGATTTTCTCGTTCCATGGCAAGCTTCGCTCGTTGCCTGCCTTGGTCTCCTCCTATTCCAAATTGTCCAAGTCGTAGGAAACGGACTCAACGTCGCTGCAGTTATTATCGCAACAATCGGATTGGATGTCTTCAGACAGATGCTCGAAACTTCTGTGGCAATTAGCATTTTCAGGTGAGCTGTTGGCATGCGTCTCCTTCAAACAAAGTTAGTATGATGTTTTGTGTATAGTATTGCACCGCACGCACGGGCACGGTTGAACGCTATCTACATTCTCTCTGTACGTTCCGCGTAGACTGCTTCTGCGAGCAATTTCACCCTGATCCGCTTTTACCCTCCTACTCCCTCGTACAGCTCTTCATTGGGCAAGTTATTGGCTCCTCTGCCGGCACCAAAGTATTCCTCACCTACGGCTGGCGCGCCACAGCTGCTATGACCCTCGGCCTCACCGCGTGGGCCCTGCTCATGCTCATGATGCGCGGTCCTGGATGTGATAGATATACGTGGTTTGGATTTCGGAATAGTTTAGATGGTGTGAAAGGAGTGCTAAACATCAAAGCTAGGGTGAGGGCGGATGATGAGAATGTTCAAGGCGCTTTGGAAGCAGAAAAGGATGTGGAAAAAATTGAAGGGGGGCCGTGAGGTGGAGGGAGCGGGAGAGATACGTACAAATGAACTGCGAGTAAGTACATCGGTATTACATCTAGACTTACAAATGTATAGCTACACTTAGGAAAGAAGCTTTTTTTTCGCAAAAAGGATCATGGACACTGGGAGATTTGAACTCCCGACCTCACGCAGACCGGATCCGTCGCGCTTTGTGCGAAGCGTGCGCGCTACCAACTGTGCCAAGTGCCCTCGAAGATTGGGCAAACACTAAATCAGGCATTCTGGTGCTTAACATTCACCGCCAATCACATTTTTTGTGCTGTAACAAAACCGGGTGGCATTGTGTACTTTGAAACGATAACGATGTTACATATAAGCTTCACATTGGAAGGGTCAAAACACATATAGATACACAAGCGAGTGGTCAATCATGTGCAATTTAATTGAGCCCATTAACTTGAGAAACGGAAGGAAGAACGAAAGCAAATAGACATAACAGTTACAAGATGGTAGCAAAGACGGTATGACACTGGGACTATCGACGAAGGAGCAAAAACGTCAACATCAAGACGGAGGAAATTTTACGGAAACATTGCAAGCAGTAAAACAACAGAGGGCTTGTATTCATCTATATCCGTTCGGCTTGGTCAAAAAACACACATTGTGCGTATTGTGTATCTTCGACGCCTTGACGGGTTGAGAGAATAGCGTGTATCTAGAAGCATAGATAGGGGAAAAGATGTCAATTAGCATTGAGAATCACGAGAGTACAAGAAGATCGAAGGTGAAAGATGTAAAAGTAAGTAAGGAAAAGGGGTTGTTGAGGATGGGACGGGAGAAAAGAACTCGTATTCACCTCAGGAGGGGGGTTGAGACCCATGGCTTCTGCGCGTTCCCAACGATCAAGCCGAGAGATTCCATAACATGGCCCGTACTGGTAAGACCTGAAAAATAGGCATTGATTATTACAGGAACCGGCCGATGATTCGAGAATATACACACAAGTCAAACACACGGAGGATATCATGGATATTGTTCTGATTCTCGGCATGCACTGCAGTGTACCAGTCAGTACTTCGTTTCGGGCGATGAACAAGCTAAGAGATTCACCCAGTTGAAGATGCCCATTTACCGCTCGGGCTTGAGCGGACACTTTCCGCCATCTCGGATCGTGAACTCTCAATTCCGCTCTTTCCTTGATTGATTTAACTAAGGTCTGAGGTCCTATTTGATGGGTTCAATACACGCAATGAGTTGACTAAGATAGATAGATTGATACGAGAAAAATACCTGCTTGAGGCTCTTGTCCTTCGTTCTTCACCCCAGCCTTCTTCTTCTCCTTCCCCTCACCCAATCCGCTTCTTTTTCTCTTCAAGGTGGTAACTGCGATTGGGTGTTCGACCGGTTCAGATTCGTTGGCTTCTTTAATATTGTCGTGCTCTGAGCTCGAGGAGCTAGAGTACCCCTCCACATCTTGGAATTCCGCTTCGACTTTTCGCAGTTCCAACGCCTTCCTGTCAGAGTGTTTGCCCTTCTTGCCGCCAACAACGGCGGGTGAACTTTTGGATGTACCAAAATTGAGCTTGGATTGTGTAGATGAAGTGCGTCTAGAGATTGGCATTGTGATTGATGGTGATAGTTGAGTGTTAAGCGAGTAGGTACAGAATGTAAGGAGAGAAAGGGGTTTATAAGTCGAAGTTGGAAAGTGAAACAGTTTACCCCTAACCCTGATAGAACGTTATGACGTATGTATGTAGCTTAAATTCCATCCTAAGCGCTAAGCGTCGAAGTAATTCTTGTAGGTACAGTAAATTTCCCTGTAACACACAAAGAGTAAGTACCATTTACGCAGTTATAGGCATGTAAAAGTGAACCTCCATCAAAACCGCCATTGGCACGCAGGAGAAATACGCTGATACTAGTTTGAGCTTTGTGGACAGTTTTGGACATTACAGGAAAGAACGTTGACATGTTGGGACATACTCCGTACGTACACAAACTCACGATATAGTAAACGGCGTTATTACCATATACTGTACAGTACATAGAATATACGACGGACACCGAACACGTACACCTCAGTTGTTTTTCTACCAACTGAGGTGAGTTCAATAGTATACCTACATACGAACAACCGAACTGACTCCCGTAGAATTACATTACTCCAACAGGTAGATACGCCGACAATATCAGTTGTTTTTCTACCAACTGAGAATTACATTACTCCAACAGATTATGAGACTCGCGTTCTAAAAAGGCTATCAGGGAAGAATAAAATTAGAACTCTCGAGAATGTCGTTTGGAAACAGCCTAAACATACCAAGATTGCCGGACGAGAAACAGCTCGTCGGCGAAGAGAACTGGAGACCGTATAAGCGGGAAATATTGTTCGCAGTGCAGTCAAGAGGACTCACTGGATACATCGACGGTACAATCGCGAAGCCGAACTCGTACCCGGGACCCATATACCCGACGACTCAAGCCGCAACGCCGCTCTTCAGTCCCATACCATGCCTTGAAGAGTGGGAAGCACGGGACAGGCTCGTAGCCGGTGCGATCGTGTCGAATATCACAGACCCCGTCGGACTGGGAATAGACGAAACGAAGCGTGCATCAGAAATCTGGTCGGCACTAATCAAGCGTTTCGAAAAGAGGGACGAGCAGAGAATCCATCTTGCCGATACGAGCCTCAGACAGGAAAAGTTCGACCCCACCGAATCCACGATGGAGGAACACGAAAAGAGGATGCGAAACCTGATAAAAAAGGTCCACGACCTGGGTGGGACAGCAACGGACGCCCAATTCCGCCGTATCGTCATATCCTCCATGCCGCCAGAGTGGAGGCAAGATGTACGCAGCGTGCCAGGGAGCTCTAGCGCCGACGCGTTCGCATACCTCCACACACTCTGGTATGAAAAAGAAGAGGAGCGAAGAGAGGACGAGCGAGATACGAAAAGGGTAAAAGCCCTAATGGCAGCACACTCGAACACCAACAACGTGACTGCCCAATCCCGAAACGGCAACAACAGGCCAATGATCATATGCCACAACTGCAGCAAGCCCGGGCACATCGCCAGAAAGTGCTGGGCGAAGGGTGGTGGAATGGAAGGGCAGTGGCCGAAGCAGGGCCAAATGAACAAGGGCAAGAACGACACAAGCGCAAACGCGGTGGACGTAGACAACACAACTACATTGTCACCAATGTCAACCTACGTACTAGCGGCACAGGCAAACGGCAGACCGAGTATGTTTGAATCAGTCCAGGGACACCGGTTAACCACTGACGCTGCAACTAGACAGAGTAATCCCCTTCTAGAGGAAGCAGGTCAGTGGGAGACGGTGGGAGAAGACGGAGATTCAAACATAGCTAGTTGTCCGAGTACACCGAAAAGTCACTGTACTGTATGCCACGGAAACACTTCCCTATATACACCGTCCGTACCGGCCATAAGAACTTTCCTGGATTCAGGAGCTTCCGAGCACTGCTGGGTGCGTCGTTCAGACTTTGTCGAATACACCGAAGTGAAAGGGCAGGGAGGAAGTAGCGCCATCTCAGGCGATGCCGGGAAGTTCGAGATAAGAGGCACTGGAACGATACAATTCGTTATGCAAGTCGGGAATGTCGAAAGAACGGTCAAATTCACAGGAGTGAAACACACGCCATCGTTTGGCCATAATTTGATTTCGTTGCCAACGCTGGATAGCCGAGGTATGCGAGGTGACTGGGGACAAGGAATAATGACAGTACGCAAGCCGAGCGGAGAGACCATACTGGAAGGGCTCGGGCGGAACAAGATGTATGAGGTAGTGGTCCTAGAGTCGGGACCCACCACAGCAAACTACTCCCGGACACGAGACCGACCAGTCGATATCTACACATGGCACCGACGCCTAGGGCACGTAGGGATACAGCGAATTCTGCGAATGTCTAACCGGAAGCTGGTCGATGGCCTCCACATCACAAACCGAGACGTCCAAGGGATGTGTGAAGATTGCCTATACGGAAAGGCGACAAAGCGCCCATTTGACGAGGTCCTAACACACGAAACGGAGGTACTTGAGCGAGTCCATATGGACCTATTCGGCCCGGCTAGGACACAGACCAGGGGAGGCGCAACGTACCTTATGCTTTGCACGGACGGGAGGTCATCATACAGAGTACCACACTACCTCACGAACAAGAGGAAGGAAACGGGCCTAAAAGCGCTGCATGAGTACAGGGTCATGGTGGAAAAGCAGACAGGAAAAGTACTGAGGACCATCAGAATTGACGGAGGAGGGGAGCTAAATAACGGACTAGTGGACGCATACTGTGCCGAGCATGGTATCACCATTGAAAAGGTCCCCCACGACTCATCGGCGGCAAATGGAGTAGCCGAACGATCATTCTGTACAGTAATGGAGGGTACTCGCACACTACTCGAGGAGGCGGGACTTCCTTACTCGTTCTGGGGAGAGGCATCAGCAACGTTCATATATGTCAACAACCTCGTACCTTCCTCCCGTTTCCCAGACACTGTCCCAGTGGAAGCCTGGACGAACAAGCGCCACGATGTCTCACACCTACGACCGTTCGGATGTGATTGCTGGGTGACATTACCAAGAAGGCGAACCGATGGCAAACTGGGGAGACAGGCAGTCAAGGGGAAATTGCTGGGATACATGGGGAGGAGGGGATACCGGATATGGGTACCAGAGAGCAAGAAAATAGAAGAGTCGCATGATGTAACCTTCGAGGAAGGAAGGGCACACCGTACACATAGCACACAGGACATGGAGGACGCAGGTGATGAAGGCCCACAGAGTGAGTCAACTGGCGCCACGACCCCGGAACCCAGCAAACCAGACGATATAATTGCCACCGATACGACCGGTAACCATCATCAAACACGGGGAACTCACGATGCTACACAAACTCTGGACCCTATACAAGAGCCTACGCCTAACCAAATGGAGACACCGAAATCGCAAATAGCACCAAATCCACCAATACCGACACGTCACAGTAGCCGAGGACACATCCCTTCGCGCAGGTACATCGAGAGCGAAGAGTACGGGGAAAGAGAAAAGGCAGCCAATGAACGGGGTGAACAATGGACGACGGACACCGCGCCAGGAGAGCATCCCTTCGCACTCCTCACCCAAACACCATACTCCTTTGCCGCAACATCTGGGGACCTGTGGGTACCCCAGTCATTTAAACAAGCCATGAAAAATGCGGACTTATGGTGGGAACCGATGGAGAAGGA